TTCCCAAATACATAAAAAAATTTTTTTTACCCATTGGCTTCAAAGTTGTTTAGCTCCAGCAAGCCAGTAAACGACTTCTCTGCACCTTTTAAAGTCTAGAAATAGATATGGTTGTTGGTCGTAAGTGTTAACTGTCAGAGATTTATTATCAAGTATTGCATCTATTTTTCTCACTATAAATATCTGAACCATAATGAATGTCAATCTCTTGAGGTGCGCTTTAGAATATTTATCATTTTTGTGCACTATAAATATTTTAAAATTAAATCTATTATAAATACCTTTTGCTTGAACAGTTTCTCAACGTATGGCCTCCAGTGATGTTCTCTGATCTGTTTAGCTTCAACTGGCAAACCTTTGCATAAAGACAAGATAATTTAGTTTAACTCTGTAAGTGGTTCTACTTAATTAGGCCGAAAAATATACCTGTGTTTCCGGTTCCCGACCGACCCTATTTTTTTCTGCCAACCCTATTATTTTTTTCAACGCAATTGACCATGCAACCCTATTTTCTCTGGGTGGTTGCGGGCTGCTCATACAGTGTGCCAAAATGGTGTCTGTTGTCTCACTAATTATTGAACCAAATTGCCTAAATTCGTCCATAGAAACTACGTATCTCTAGTTAACATTGATGTTGGGACTCCAAAAACCCACCAAAACCATGAAAAAAAAAATTAAAAAAATTTATTTCCGACCTACTGACCCTAATTTTTTCACGATATGAAACCGGAACCACAGGTGTTTTTTTAGGCCTTATTTTACCCTGTCTAACGCCAGACGATTTTACTCATCCGGGGAAGAGTGCTGACACTCAATGGGTTAATCAGACCATCTGCCCATGTGACAATGCGTCCAGATGCAGCCTAATTCATTATTTTACTCTGTCTAACACCAGATGATTTTACTCATCCGGGGGGGAGTGCTGCCACTCAATGGGTTAAAGTGGCTTTGCATGCATATTGTATTACATGCTGTAAGACTTTCGATGACTTATTAATACAACATATCAAACAGTAGTGTTAATTTGACAATAAGTTGCAGTTCTTTGCATCTGAACTGAAAACAATTAAAAACATGCCTTAATATTTCTCCAATAGTTCAAGCAGTGACTCACCATCAAAGTTGTCACACAGATAACCAACAATACACGAAACATTTGCAGCAGGTTTCGACTCTTTCTGACTGGTATACTTCACAACAGCTAAAAAATGAAAAGTGAATTTTCAGTTAACACACAATTATGTAATCTCTCAAAGCAAAACAAATTACGACTTATTGGTGGGTTTTACCCAGCATTACAGGCCACGAGATGGCAGGAATGTCGACACTTTAGAAAGCAATAAAATGAAACGTAATCTCCATTACCATCAATGAACTCTGGGTTGACCATATCCTTGGTGTGTCGTGTTACCATGGCATTGGAGTAAAACAAATCCAAACAAGACAGAAGCAGATGATAGGAGTTGACCAAGTCGTCACTGATCGCTGGGAAACTACCTGAAGAGGAAATTATTGCAAGTTTTAATACACAACTGACAGACAATAATTTTGTTCCAGATCTAATGGGTTGTTCCAGAAAATATCCATACTCCCCCCACGGAGGAAATTTCTGCCGCCCGGAGGGGGAGGGGAGAAAAAATTGTTTCTGATAATAGTAAATGTATTAGGACATCCGAAGGGGTGGTATGGATGTTTTCCGGAATGACCCAATCAGGAGAATTTGCAAAAATGCAAGCCCCCTCACAAGAGATCAGGACACACACCTCTGCCCTTCTGGTTACTTTCCCTAGTAAAAGCTATTGGCAGATTTTAGACCAATGTAGCAAGAGTAATGTAAGTCTCCAGCTGCATATTTCCAGAGGGAAAGGGGCAGATGTTATTAGGAAGGGTGCAAATGTTATCAGAATGGATGCATTGTTTATTTAAAGCAACATTCACAATATGCACAAAATGCAATCCTAGTGGTTCAAATTAGCTCCATTCTTAACCCATTAAGTTGCAGTGGCGTTATGTAGCCAGCTTGACAATTTAGTCCCGCTGTGGAAATTAAAAGTTATTCATTTCTTTACAAATTGATTGTTTTCACAGTTATTGAACACAAAAATATTTGCATAGCGGGACCGGAATCATCGAGCTGGCTACCTGAATGTGCCCTGCAGTCTGTCTAATGCCAGACAATTTTACTCGTCCAGGGAGCTCAATGGATACTGTATTGTAAAAGCTACTAACAACTTTTCTCCTTTTGACCTTCCTCAAAGCTCCTGTTAACCCATTAAGCTGCGGAGCTTCCCCAATAAAATCGTCTGGCGTTAGGCAATTAAAAAAAAAGTAGGGCGCACTGGCACTCAATGAGTTAACTAGAGACATTTTTTGGTTAACCCATTAATCTGCACAGCTTCTCCACTGACAATTATTTAAAATCATCTGGCGTTAGACAAGTAAAAAAAAAGTAGGGCGCACTGTGGCTCTATCGAGGCTCTCATCTTTGTTATTCACACAAAACTTGCGCTGGCTGAAAAGTTGTTTTTGTAAGATGCCGGGCAAAGCCCTAAGCCTAGGTTTGTCAAAAAATATTTTAGTCAATTTTCAAATTGCTAAATTGAAACTCAGCAAATATGTTCAAGGTCAAAATTTTCCTTATTCAAGCAGCCCTCAAATAAAATATTTTAATCTTAATTAAATGTCAAAATCTGATTATAGATCAGCCAATCGCATTCAAGAACAGCCAGGCATGAACAGGCACGAATACACTAGTGAGTGCAACCACAGTTTTATATCAGCATGGTGTCTCAAATACACTTCTACCTAAGATCACATGCCTACTAGAATCTACTTTACGACCGATTCAAAACATTACAGAGCAATAGATGGCGACCGTCTTCAAAATGTTGACAAAAATTAAACTTAATTTCTCAATTACATTTATTTTCCTCCAAACTACAATGACATTTTGTCACATTGATGACCACCATCTGCTGAGCAACCCACACATAGAAGTATCAGGTTACTTCTGAAATTGAATCCGTATATAAAAGATGCATACTGTTTTTGCAGAAATATTTGAATACCAAATATAAACTCAAAATCAAACATAATCAACCACTGTTTATTCACAAAAAACATATATACCACAAGGTTTCTGAATGGTCAACTTTGTCCAAGCTTTTTTTTCATACAGAACGCAAAGTTGGGGCCCAGACATTCTTGAAATTATTACTGAAGGGTGTGTCTGTTTAGCCGAGGGAATCACCCTTGATTATTTGCTATAAAAGCATATATTTTTATAGATTTTAACACTATATTCGCTGTCCTTCCTAACGCACCACAAACATTCACTAATTTGTACTAGCAACGCGAGTTCACACAGTACTATATTTTCTATTTTTCAAAGCGAAATTTCATGAACGGAGCCACGTGTGTTGCCCTTTAAATTGGGACATTTAAAATTTTATATTTAAAACCTTACCTTTTGCAAGTACATAAAGCGTCCAACATAATTTATAAATCTCTAAAACACTGCAAGGGATTTTCCTGCAAAGAATAGCTATGTTTCAGTACCATTTTACAGGTGACAGATTGGAATTTTGTGCACATATTGCCACACTCCCAGTGAAGCATACCATCATCGAATTTATAGTAAACAACATGCAAGCTTTAAAAATTTGAATAAAAAAATACAAAATTTATCCTTAAAAGATTATTAAAATATAGATCTAAGTTTCACGTACCGTGGTTTGCGGGATCGATGTGTTTTAGTACTTTCCACAAGAGACACGGGTGATTTGAAAATTTTGAAAAATATATTGTCGTACTTTTTAAAAATCACGGATACTACAGCAAAATTCCGATTCAGTCGCTCGATCTTTTTACGAAAATCCTCCTCGGAGTTTGTCATGTCCAGCCATTTCTTCATCTTTTGGAAAAACTGGATTAAACTGCGAAGGATGAAAGAGAAATACGGGTTAATCATTTCGTATGCGTTGCTTGTTGATTTTAAATGCATTGTTGTGTGATATGTATTAGACAGTCACGAAAGCGAGTATGAAACAGTTTGTGTTCAATGTTTTTGCAACCGATAGATACCCTGGGTAAAGGTAACAACTTTTCTAAGTTCGAATATAGTTCCTGAATATTTCACCTCAATTTTGAAGCCCGTAGCAGCCTTGTGAGAGAAACACAGTTGCCACTAACTGTCGACGAATTATCTGCTGTCGGCAAGACACTTTTTCGCCCAGATAAATACAGGCCGCAAGCCAGCCAGTGCAAGCCATCTCCCTATAAAATGAAAGGATATTATTGTATGTTTATTTCCCTCGAATTCCCTTGGGATTTATACAATTACTATGTTAAACATTCTATGAAATTCACTAATGTATATATTCGAATGTTCGCTTCTATTTTACCGCGAAATATATTCAATGAAATTTAGCCTACCTCTAAAGTATAATTCCGATCGATTTTTTCATAAGTCTCCCAAGCAGATACTGCCGTCACTTCGTCCATGTTCAATTCCTTGCAAACATCATCAAAACGTTGTTTTATTTTCGTCTTATTCCCGTCAGTCGCTCCCGCCATCTTGCGTCTTTGGCGATCAACAATCGAAGAACAAGCCATTCTCGTGCAACCAATCAAATGACAGAAAGGCAAAATATGGCGGGAAAACAGACGCCTTGCGCAATGATGCGAGAAAAAATCCGCCAATGACGCCATCTTCAATTATCTTAATCCTAATCTTAATCTTAATCCTAATCTTAAACCCAACCTTAATCCTCACCATATTCCAATCCTATCCTACCCTTAAATAATCTAATAAATCCTAACTCAAACCCTAATAATCTTCCCCTAACTCTTGTCCTACCTAATATGTGCCTTATAGGTTTATATAAGCCCATTTCCACTTGGGAAAATTTTCCGCAGAAAGAACATTTTGTAAAAAGTGATTGGTCAACACAAATTTTCCGTCGGAAAAAAATTTGAAGTTGAAAATTTTCAGCTTTCAACTTTTAAATTTTCAACTTGTAACGTACAATGACATTTTCAGAAAATTTTATGTCCATGGAAAATATTCTTGAGTGGAATGGGCCCTAATCTGAACCCAGTTTTTTGTGCAAGGTTTTATATTAAATTCATATTGCGTTGAAGCATAAGCATTTTACAACAATTTTCAAGTCTTTTCAAATGTCATAACACAGTACTAGAACTTCAAAAATATTACACAAATTAATTTTAGTTTAGTGAGGTTTAAAGTTGTTTAGTGGCTTATTTCAAAGTTTATTGTGGGGCACAGGGTACTTCATTTGCTTACTTTGAGTTTGGCAAATTCTTTTGCAAGTTGCAGTGCTTCATGTAAGGCCTCATAATGTGGACCTGACGCCTGCGCAGACATCTCTTTGCCTCCACCTTTCCCCCCAAGCAAAGACGACACAGATCCTATCCATTCGTTGGCTTTCAAACCTTGGTCAATTAGTTCCTAAACAAGAGAAATTTGGAGGTAAAAATGTGTATATAAAGGTCTTCAGGTAAGGTTTATGATCGGATTAATATTAAGATGATTAAGATTAGGATTAAGAATCAAGACTAGGATTAGGATTAAGATGATTAATCTAGGATTAAGATGATTAAAATTAGGATTAAGATTAGGATGATCAATCTAGGATTAAGATTAGGATTAAGATCATTAAGATTAGGATTAAGATGATTAAAATTAGGATTAAGATCATTAAGATTAGGATTAAGATTAGGAGGATTAAGATTAGGATTAAGATGATTAAGATCAGGATTAAGATGATTAAGATTAGGATCATTAAGATTAAGATGATTAATCTAGGATTAAGATTAAGATCATTAAGAGTAGGATTATGATTAAGATTAGGATGATTAACATTTGGATTAAGATTAGGATTAAGATGATTAATCTAGGATTAAGATTATATTAAGATGATTAAGATTAGGATTAAGATGATTAATCTAGGATTAAGATGATTAAGATTAACGTTTGGATCAGGGTAAGAATTAGGATTGAATTAGGATTAGGGTTAAGTTAGGATTAATGTTTGGATTAGAGAAAGGTTTAGGATTAAGGATATTTCAGTTTACAGAATTTTGAAATTTCATGTGAGTTGTGGATTTCAGTACCAGAAAGCAGTTGGTGTTCACTGTTCACAACATTATTTCCTCGGACAGTCTATTCGCATTTACTGCTAATAATCAGCGGCAGTCTAAGGCACTGTGCGGTGACTTCACATGACAGGAACTAGGTCGATTTCCATCCCCTGAGAAACCCTGGTTGACCACCATAGAGCTTAGTAAAACACACTATTTCTTAGCAAAGCATAGTAAGTCACACTCATAGACAATGTTAGTGTCTGCGACTGTTCATCTTCAATTAGTTGCAAATGATATTTAGAGACGTTTCCACTTCACATACCTTGGGAACTTGGCACATACAGATGATTTTCTTCTGATCTTTATCAACACTGAAGAACATTGCTGCAGTTTCAGCAGAACTCTTCTTGACGTGTTGCAGACAACTGTCCAAAATCTGGAAGCGATTGAATGACATTAATAATAACTCAATTTATACTCGATAGTTCTACCAGTTCTACGCTATTCTCGGTAAGAGCCGAGCCCTTAATGATACAGTAAACAGGAATATTTGGAAGAAATTGTGGAGCGTTTGAGGAAGTTAAACTGAAGGCACTCCTCTTGACATCCGATGTCGTAGTCTCTCTTAGTAAAACTCTTAAGACAAAAATCGTTCTAACAAATTTTCTTCCAAACCAACCTTGGCGTTCGCAGCAGCATCAAGAGTTTCAATGATGATCTTTTCGTCTTTGTTCTCAAGAAGACTTTTGGTTTTTTCAAGCGCCTAGAAAAACAACAATGTTGTCAAGAAATTTCTCAAACTTATTAATAATTCAAGAGCATAACACAAAGGAAACCAACACGTTGTCTTCATACCACGGAAACTAGTTTTCTCTCTTAATGCTGGTTTATTTGTAAATATATATATAAAGTCCGCGAGCGCCCCATTTTTCAACACATTTTTCACTTTTTGGTGTTTCGAAATCACTATAATAATCTCCCATCATTAGTTACCAGTGCTCTACTTACAGCCTCGGTCATAGCCGCTTTCCTTGCACGATCTGCATCGTCAGCAATTTTTTTCACTTCCTTTAATTTATTCCTCATGTCATCTTTCTCACAGTAAGGGATGATAGCGCTGGAAATTTCCTGGAAAATAGAATACAAATCTAAGAATGGAACACAACGTCATCATTACAAGATGATACTTGAACTTTCGTTCACAGATGACCCTGGATCTCTAGGGAGAACAGTTTAGAACTGATAGAGCTATCCAATATAAATAAAGTTAGTTTAGTTTAGGTTTCCTCCTGTGGTAACACTGGATCAATAAGAGATGATCCTTACTGGACCTCTAGGGAGAACAGTTTAGAACTGATAGAGCTATCCAGTATCAATAAAGTTAGTTTAGTTTAAGTTTTCTCCTGTAGTAAGACTGGATGAATAAGAGATAATCCTTACTGGACCTCTAGGAAGAACAGTTTAGAACTGACAGAACTATTCAGTATAATAATAAAGTTAGTTTAATTTAATAAAACTTACATCACTTAATGCAGTAATCTCACGGATAGCTTCTTTAGGATTTAATGTTTTTGAGTTAAATTTCTCAGCAATTTTTGCCTTCAGACTTTCTACATGTTGATCAAGAAGGCGAGCGCGGTTTATTGCCTGGAAAAGAAAGATGTAACGACTTTACACATACTTATTAACGACTTTACACATATTTATTCCCATTGCGATCCAATGGCAATGAGAACAGACATGCGATTAGTAGTAAGATTTGTATTAAGTTTGCCTCATTCCATAGCAAGAGTAGTATGTCACTAACCCTCTCAGCATCTGGTCCTGTGATTGCAACAATCCTCCGAATTCCTTTAGAAATGGCTTCTTCTGAGATGAGAGAGAATGCTTTCATGTGACCGGTATTCTGTAAATGCCTGTGGACAGAAAAGATAAAATAATAAAAGATAAAATAAAAGATAAAAATTTGGGAGCCCTGGAGTAATATTTAGGAAACTCAGCGTAAGGTCAGGGCTCTGAGCCACTAGTGGGGCCTGCATGCGGGCAGATATCTCGAATATAGATAACGTGAACAGACTTCACTTACGTTCCACCACAGAATTCCACAGAATATTTATAACCAGCTTGAGGGTCGCCACTCAGTTCATTTAGTGGGGCTCCGATAGTGAGAACACGTACTGGATCGGGGTATACCTACATTTTGGAAAAACACAAATATTTCACAGGAAATTTAAGTTTCATGTTAGAGGGAAGAAGGCTTTCACTTTGACTCTACCAAACATCTCAGTATTTCTTCAGGTACTTCAGATTCCTCCTGTAGTAACACTGGATCAGTGAGGGATAATCCTTACTATATGATAACTAGAAAGTACACCTTTTAGCGACAAAACGTACCTCGTCAAATATTGCCCTCAATCCCTGAATATCCTTAGCGGCTGCGAGACTTGACTCTGAAGCAAACACTGACATTTTTTTATCCACAATATCCTTACATATCACCTCGCAATCCTTGATTTGTTTCGCGTTCATAGCTCCCTGTAGAGAATGAACAGTGGACGAGTTATGTATGGCGTTAGAACAATTTAGAACTGATAGAGCTACCCAGTATAAATAAATAAATAAAGTTAGTTTAGGTTTCCTCCTGTAGTAACACTGGATCAATAAGAGATGATCCTTACTGGACCTCTAGGAAGAACAGTTTAGAACTGATAGAGCTATCCAGTATAAATAAAATTAGTTTAGTTTAGGTTTCCTCCTGTAGTAACACTGCATCAATAAGAGATGATTCTTATTGGATCTCTAGGAAGAACAGTTTAGAACTGATAGAGCTATCCAGTATAAACAAAGTTAGTTTAGTTTAGGTTTCCTCCTGTAGCAACACTGGATCAATAAGAGATGGTCCTTACTGGACCTCTAGGAAGAACAGTTTAGAACTGATAGAGCTATCCAGTATAAATAAAGTTAGTTTAGTTAATTCCCACCTTCGCAGTGAAGTCAAAGCGCAGTCTGTCAGGGGCAACCAAGGATCCTCTCTGATCTGCTTCGCCCAGAACTTTTCTCAAAGCAAAGTTGAGAACATGTGTAGCTGTGTGGTTGTTCATACTATGGCGTCGTCGAGGCTAAAAGTTGACATAAAAGAAAATTCTTCACTGAGTTCAAGAATACATTCTCCACTGAGTTTAAAAATTCAACTGAGATTTAGTTGGTTGTAACTATATATGGGATTGGAGCAGTATCGTGCAGCAGATGCTGGTCAACCTGCAGTTATCAGAGTGGGAAAATAATGGTACTTCTTGTCATTATATGTAGTAGTCTTGTATTTGGAAGCACACATTTTTTGTATCATCTTCCACACACGTAAAACACACAAGTTGTAACAAACCTACAGCAGATTTGTAGCAATGCTGTTCCAACAACTTGTCAACAGGATGTGTTCGCACTGCTTGTTCCCAGCTTGTTGACAAGTTCTCAACGACTTGTTGACAACTTGCTACGAGGTTGTTGAACTCAACAGACTTGTTACAAGTTGTTCCAACAACTTGTTGTCGTCCTGCAATTCAACAATTTGTCAACAAGTTGCGAGTGACAACCTTGTAGCAACTTGATAAATAACAGCATTGTTACAACTTGGTGACAAGCTTGCTACAAGCCTGTTGCGAACACATCTTGTTGACAAGTTGTGAGATTTTTACGTGTGACTCAGCCTCGTCCCCAGGCTCCAACTCAGACGCGCGGGTTCCGACGCAAACAGATTTCCATTTCTCACGAAACGGCGCAGCAAATCAAAGCGCCTGGGGACGAAGCTGGTGTGTACTCCGTAACGTTTATTGAAAGCTTGAAGGTTGGTGTATAATCTTACCTCATCGATAAAACATTTCACTTTATCGCCAACTTTGAGTTTCCCTTCAAGCGCGCCTACATGAAGTATGTACCCTCCATGCACCTGGACATCCATGACTGCAAACTCAACTTCTTCGTCATCAGTTTTCGTCATATATCCCTGATCATAGATCTGCCCGCCTGCCTCGGCGTAGAAACACGTCTGGTCTAAAACAATGCCGCATTTTTCGCCCCCCGGGACTTCAGACACAAATTCTTTGTTGAGTAGTAAGGCCTTTACTTCACCACTGCATAAATCGAAATCTGACCAGAAAAAAACAGGGGAAATTGGGTTGGTTAATCGTAAAATGAATGCTACATACGCAAACGCCTCTCACATCTTGTAGCAAGTCTGCCAACAAGCCGTCAACAAGTTGTGTTCGCACTGCTTGTCCCAAGTTGTCAACAAGTTTGTTAACAAGCTGTTAACAACTTGTAACAAGCTTGTTGATATTATAAGACTTGTTGCAAGGTTGTTGCAACAAGTCCGATACAGTCATGATGTAACAATATTGTCACAACCTTGTGTCGTCAACCTTGTAACATTCTTGTTATATCATGACTGTATCAGACTTGTTAGAACAACCTTGTAACAAGTCTGATAATGCCATCAAGCTTGTTACAAGTTGTTAACAGCTTGTTCCAAACTTGTTACAACAACTGGGAACAAGCAGTGCGAACACAACTTGTCGACAGCTTGTGAACAGATTTGTAACGACTTGTTTGCAGACCTGTAACAACTTGTGCGTTTTTACGTGCGTAGTCCGAAAATTGAGAGTCACAATCATATTGTAGATTAATAAAAACACATTTAAGATGGTAAATTTTCTATTTAATCAAATCCACATGTCTAAAGTTGATCATCATCTAGTACCTCGTAATTTTTCGTGAAAACCATCAGCATACACTTACTGTAATTTCCGTCGTCATCCGACGTATATTTGTATTTGAAGGAGTCTTCTGTTCGCGGAAGTTTTAGAACATTTTGTAAATGATTTATTGAATGAATATCCAGGGTAATGATTTCCTCGCCTGCCGACGTTTTGCCACGAGCTATTTCCTAAAAACATGAAATCTTATTGATGATCTTGATTCACTGTATATTAGAGACGGATGGTACGCGTGTCTGCATAGTTTGTACTATAACGTTGCTTTGCAAACCTGAGCTTTAAGCCTGCTTTCTTCATAAGCTTCCATGTCAACCGAAAGATTTCGTTCTTCAGCCATTAATTGTGTCAAGTCGACAGGAAAGCCGTAAGTGTCGTATAAACGCCATGCAACGTCACCTACAAGACAAGTAATCTACTAGAAATTGTTCTTGCTTCTGCCTGCATTGTTCAGGCATTTTTAGCCATAGGTATTTCTATTTCCAGCACCTACTTATCAATATTAAATTATTTTTATTATAATCTGTACAAATAATTTCCAAGGGTACAAATAAACTGTTGTTGTTGTTGTTGTTGTTGTCCAGAGAGAAACCAGGCAAATAAACAAATGTGTCAACAAACAAACAAACAAACAAACAAACAAACAAACAAACAAACAAACAAACAAACAAACAAACAAACAAACAAACAAACAAACAGACAGACAGACAGACAGACAGACAGACAGACAGACAGACAGACAGACAGACAGACAGACACAACTGACCAGGAATAACTTTATCGCCTTGGTGTTTATCCGCAGTTCTGTTAAACAATCGTCTTCCTCGAGCCAGAGTCTTTAAAAACTGTTCCTCTTCTTCATTGATTATATTCATCGCCTGGAACGAAATTATTTGGGTGACGGCTGCACAAACATTCTAACTACTGTATCACATGTATCACTGTATCATACTATACAGTATGTAGCAGTCTTGTATTTGATGACACATAGATTGAATTGAGATATGCAGTTTCATTTTCTTGCCCTATAAGTGCCAACATTTCTAAGCTTGCCTGGCTTTTAATGAAATCTACCAATTCTCGTTCATTATAAGTCGAATGACAAACCTGTTGTGGGTTTTTGGTGATCTCTGGAAATGCTTCGCCCTTTATAAAATGAAATTAAGCAATTAGACAACAACGACAACATCAACGACAGTGACAACAACCAAACAACAACAACCAAACAACAACAACCAAACAACAACAACCAAACGACAACAACCAAACGACAACAACCAAACGACAACAACCAAACGACAACAACCAAACGACAACAACCAAACGACAACAACCAAACGACAACAACCAAACAACAACAACTAAACGACAACAACCAAACGACAACAACCAAACGACAACAACCAAACGACAACCAAACAACAACAGCAACAGCAACAACAACAACATGAAGTCTTACCAAAACTTCAACAACAACTGAAACAAGGGAGGCAAGAAAACCAGGTGGCGCATGCAACTTCTCAGACACAAAACGAACTGCTCTTCGAAGAATACGTCTCAATACATACCTACAAAATAACAAAATAATTTAAACTGTTCATCCTACAGCTCCAACAAGAGTCATTCGTTATTGGCTCAATACTACTTCAGGAGAAAATCACTCACTGACGGAACCAAAACAAAGTCTGCGATGTTTGGTAGAGTCAAACTGGAAGCACTCTTCTCACATGTGACTGAGGTGAAATTAAAATATACGTCTTAATATTGCAGAAATTGAAGCTGGTCACAGACATGAGACATTTCCTGAGCACTGCACACCACCGTCATGAGTACCTACCCACGTCCAGTGTTGTCAGGCCTTCCTCCATCAGAGATTGCAATTGTCAATGTTCTGATGTGATCTGCAATCACTCTGTACGTCATATCTATCTTGTCTTTGTCTTCCTCGCCAACCTTCCCTGTGTAAGGACGAACACCTGTGCCCTGCGAAAACAAGTTTCCTCATAGTTAAAGTGCGACTGACCACAAATATAATTTTGGTATGTGTAATATTTGGGTCATTCTAAGAAGAAATGTATATAATGTATCTTTATAACAACTGGGAACAAGCAGTGCGAACACAACTTGTCGACAGCTTGTGAACAGATTTGTAACGACTTGTTTCCAGACCTGTAACAACTTGTGCGTTTTTACGTGTGAACCAAGATATGTAAACTTGTACACTACCTCTCTAATAGCATCAAATATTGGAATAAAAACATCTGTGTCATAATTCGATCTTTTATCTTGGATAACAGACACAGTTCTCTCGAATCCCATTCCTGTGTCGACATGTTTGCTTGGTAGAGGTTTCAATGATCCGTCTGTCTCCCTGAAAGTTTTGGTAACATATGGGTGGGTTAAACCTGGTTTTACACTATCAAAGTTTCTGTGATCACAGTAGGAATTTTGCATCAGTAAATTCTACGTTTTGAAGGATTTGTAAGAAATGTAAGAAATGAACTGACTTGTTGGTTAACACTGAGTTGGTTCACTCAAACATTTCTTAGAAATCCTTCAAAACTTTGAAGTTCCACAAGCTCCAGTTGTACCGGTGAACTTTCCACAAGACTGGTTTTATACCTGTTAAATTGGATGAAAACAAGATTCCAAATTTCCAGGACGTCCGGATCGTCCATGTTGACCAATGCAGATGCATCTCGTCCACCAATGCGATCAAAATGAATCTCGGTGCACGGGCCGCATGGGCCAACGTCTCCCATCTCCCAGAAATTGTCTTTCATCCCAAAAGGAAGCACTCGTTCAGGCGGTAATCTGAGGAGAATGGTTGGGTGTTATGTACAGTACTTGTAGCGAGCTTGTCAACAAGTTGTAACAATGCTGTTATTTTATCAAGTTGCTACAAGGTTGTCACTCACAACTTGTTGAATTGCAGGACGATAACAAGTTGTTGCAACAACTTGTAACAAGTCTTTTGAGCTCGAAAAGGTCGTAGTAAATTGTCAGCAGGCCGTACGCAAGTTGTCAACAAGCTGGGAACAAGCAGTGCGAACACATTCTGTTGACAAGTTGTTGGAACAGCATCGCTACAAGTCTGCTACAGGTTTGTTACAACTTGTGCGTTTCTATGTGACTATGTACTTTTACCAACCAATGCTCAACATCTAGTTACCTACCCAACACTCAGCCATATTTCTTTTGCATCGTCATCGGGTGGTAGATCTTTATAACCACCAAAATAAGTTGCATACAGTCGTTCTTTTGGTAACTTCCATGTGTCAACCAAAAGCTCCATCGCCCATTCTATTGCTTCTTTCTAAATGTTTCAACAACATGATTCGTGAGTTTAGAAGAGATAGAACTATCCAGTATAGATGTTAGTTTCCAAGACATAACCGTACCTTGAAATAATCACCAAATGACCAGTTTCCTAACATTTCAAAAAATGTATGATGGTAAACATCTTTGCCAACATCTTCAAGGTCGTTATGTTTTCCTCCTGCTCTGATACATTTCTGACTGTTTACCGCTCGTTTTAATTTGGAGAAATCGCTGTTTGGATCTACTGTCCCAAGGAAGATTGATTTATACTAAAACGATGAATTAATAGCGTTCTAATTATTGGAGTAAAATATTTTTATTAAGCAGATTCATAGGGTATTAAAAAGTTTCAAAAATTAATTTATTAGTAAATACATAGAAACATCAAACTGTTAATAGGACATCTTGGTTGTGGGTTGCCCAACTGTTTTCTAACCATGGGTTGCATCCAGACTGGAAAGTACAGATTTCTCCTTTGCACACTTATAGAGCCTTAGACTTCAATATACACTCAATTGCAAGAAAATTATACACATCTGTGTAAATTGGGCAACAATTGAGCTATAAAATGCATATCTTGGGAAAATGTTGACTATTTGTGTGTTGAGACATTATAATTTAGCTCATTAACCCATTGAGCCACAATGCACCCTACTTCTTTTTTACCAGTATAATGCCAGACCACTTTACTCATCAATGGGGAAGCTCCGCAGCTTAATGGGTTAACCAAGAAATCTGACAATATCTCTAGTTTAACATTGAGCCGCAATGCGCCCCACTTATTTTTTTTACTTGTCTAACACCAGACGATTTTACTCGTCAGTGGGGAAGCTCTGCAGCTTAATTATGGGTTAATGCATTTAATACATAGTACATAAACTGCCAAAATTCTATTTTACAGTTTTTGCATTGAAGCTTGGATAAAGTCCTCTGTATGTCCAATTTATTTAGTTTATCTGTGCATATTTTTGGCCAACATTCTGTCTCATTTGCACATTTTGCAAACATTCCAATGTGGGGGCGTGTGGAAGGCGTGACACCTCATTCATTGAAACCAAACATAGTATAATTTTATTACACATGTAAAAATACTCGAGTTGTTCCAGATCTTCAAACAAGTTGCAACAAGGTTGTTGTGAAGCCGACATCAGGATGTGTTCGCACTGCTTGTTCCCAGTTGTTGTGACAAGTCTGGAACAAGTTGTTATCACCTTGTTACGTTTGGTAACAGACTTGCAACAAGTTGTTCTAGCAAGACTAATACAGGTTGTTTGCAAACAAGTTACCAGTACTACAAACTTGCTGTCATCAACTTGTTACATGCAGACAATATCAGACTTGCCGGAACAACTTGTTGCAAGTCTTGTAACAAGATGATAACAAGTTTTTCCGGACTTGTCAACAACTGGGAACAAGCAGCGCGAACACATCTTGTTGACAAGCTGTACAGTTTACACATGTATAGTGTAGCAAGTCTGCCAACAAGTCGTCAACAAGTTGTGTTCGCATTGCTTGTCCCAAGTTGTCAACAAGTTTGGAACAAACTGTTAACAATTTGTAACAACCTTGTTGATATTATCAGACTTGTTGCAAGGTTGTTCCAACAAGTCCGATACAGTCATGATATAACAATATTGTTACAAACTTGTGTCGTCGACCTTGTAACATTCTTGTTATATCATGACTGTATCAGACTTGTTAGAACAACCTTGTAACAAGTCTGATAATGCCATCAAGCTTGTTACAAGTTGTTAACAGCTTGTTCCAAACTTGTTACAACAACTGGGAACAAGCAGTGCGAACACAACTTGTCGACAGCTTGTGAACAGATTTGTAACAACTTGTTTGCAGACTTGCAAGAACTTGTGCGTTTTTATGTGCGCAAGGCCGTTCCTAGACACGATAATTGGGGGAGGGGGTGTATATTCATATATTCATGTTCACATACCGTAAAAACAATCGATTTCAAAGAAATCTGTCGTGCAGAACACGCATATATGAATATACACACCCCAATTATCGTGCTAGGAACGGCCCTGTAAGTGTGTAGTACACTACAACTGTGAAGACATACTATTCTTGAATAAATACCAAGCCTAATATGATAATGGAACAAACTACCAAGTTTTGTTTGGGTACTGCAACAACCTACTAGAACTCTAACATTATTAGACACAAGCACAGTTGGAAACAAATGCTCGTTAATTGCCTATATTATTTCAATTACGAACCTGCAACCTTGCCTATGTTATATTATAAACAATTATAACAATGGAAGTTTGTACTTTAAATATTCGCCTTAATTTTCCTTCAACGCGCAGAAATGAAAACACACTTCATAAGACTACATATTCTATCCATATTTTAAAACTTTAGACAAGTTTTCAACGAACCTGGTTCATCCCAGCATTCGCAAACAGCAACGTAGGGTCTTCATGGGGAATCACAGACGATGAATGGACAAACGTATGTCCTTTCTTTTCCACGAAGAAATCTAAAAATTGAGCGCGAATGTCTTTGCCGGTTAAACTGCTATCCATGTTGCGGTAGCTTGAATAAAATACACTGGATAAATAGCTAAATTGAAGGCGTTCAAAGCGAGAAAATATGAAAAATCGAGCAAGTTTCACCATAGAACTGATGCCACTCACAAGAGAAAGCAAAAGGAATTTTAAATTTCTGGGAATACCGCTGGAGTAAACGAAGGCGCGAGCGTCGGTCGTTATGCTAATTAAGTAAAGCTTTTATCCCAATAAGCGCCTCCATCCAAAAAAGCGCTTTTACGAGGCGCTAGGTTTTGGACAGATTTTGAGGCATTTTTAATAAATTTTAACACAAACCAGTAATTTACAGCTCAAACGGGCAAACCGAGGCCGCTTTTGCGCATTTTTAATGTTTTCAAACTATAAAGCCAAAAGCAATCACCGGTGTAGCCTACGGTGTAGACCCCAGTAGAAACACGTTTCGTGAGGCTATCACCGGTGGCTATCACCGGTGGGGCTATGGCTATGTTATAAGTTCATAACCGGAAAATGTTTAGTCAAAATAACGGCCACTGGTGATTGGCTTTGGCTTAGTTTGAAAACATCAAAAATATGCAAAAGCGGACTCGGTTTGCCCGTTCGAGCTGTAATACGGCAGACTGAAAATTATTCGACAAATATGCTCAGTACAATGAAAACTTTTTTGATAAAAAGTGAAAGAATATATTTGTATTATATTGTAAACTTTATTGGACAGTAAAACAAGACTTACCAAATGGCACGAGTGCAAACGGGATTCGAAGTCCCATGCGAGGCACTCTACCTTTTTACAAATTGATTAAATTATGTATGCACATTAAAATTACGATGATATTAAGCATACAAAACAGAAGCATTTTTCCAAACATTTCAATTCTGGCTTAACTAGTTGTCGATTTGTGCACAGAATAAAACTATACTGTTGCCAAAAAGTTGCTATCAAAAGTAAAAGTTGTTCGAAGTTGCTTCAAATGGGAAAAGTTGCCAAGCACAATCTGGAGACCCCTGGCCTTTTCTAATCAGAATTGTTATAATCAGCGAGTAGTAGTTGCTGTCCATTTTCCACAGTCGCAATTGTCCGCGCACTTTGGCGTTGACGGCGATTTGGCGGCGTCAGTGGACAATAGGACTTCAAACATCCCGTAATTTGCCAACCCCACGAATGCGTATGGTTATGAAGCAAAAACGTCTCCCAACTATCATCGTTCGCCTTTTCCCACGGTTTCACACACGTGTACAATAATGGTACTCTCACCTCTCCCCCCGAGGGCGTTTGCCCATCATCATTTATGATGTATTTATACAAGGGGTTATGAACTTCAACATATCTCAACGTGGGGTCGCTGGTCGCAGCCCGCGGGTAGATGCTTTTGAATTTCTCCATCACTTGCTCGAGTGTCAGGCAAAATTTGTTTTGGTTCTTGTATAAATCTATGATATAAGAAGCCACAATTCTGCCGCGGACTTCAGGAGAGTCGATAAATCCATCATCCAGCTGTGAAGCTACGCTTTGCGTCAACCTTTTGATTTCTTCTTTCACATTTTCGTCCTCCCATCTTTTTACAAGTTCGTCAATGTCGAAGTAACTCTCTTGTTGCTTGAGCCGTGTCAACAACCAAGACTGATAAAGGACTTTGTTTACGTCAGCAGTCGAAACTGATTCATCCGAGGGAACTTCGTATTTTTCTAAAGCCTTCTTCGCATCTTTGATTCGGTTTTGCCGCTTTTCTGAAAGTTTGTCTCTTTTGCTCTCGTACTCGGCCCTCGCCTTCTTTAATTCTTCTGAATCTTCAAGGATCATTTTAAAGTCTTTTTTCGTGTTTAGTTTATTCCATTCAGCCCAGAAATGGAGAACTCTCTCTAGCTCTTTAAATTCTACGATTTCTCGTTGAATTTCACGCAATTTCGCGTCGTCTTTTTCATTTTTCGTCTCATTTTGAAGAGAAGAAATTCTCTCTTTGATGACAAGGAATTGCACGAGGGAAGCCCTGCAGGAGAACTGATCGAATTCGTCTCCCTCGGTGAGAAGCCGATCTAGCTCGTCTCTGGCGGCAAATGCTTCCAGTTCTTCCAGATGGCAAAGACCTGAAGAAGTTGAAATAGAACTCATCAGGACTGTACCAATGTCATTTAGCTAGCCTATTGTAATACAACTACGGTTTAACACTTTAACTGTTTGTGCCAGTGTGGGTAGTGTCCATAATATGAACAAGCCTTCGTTGGTAGGGACGTAACTACGTGAAAAATATAAGGAGAATTTCCAACCCTTCGCATTTGGCTAGTAACTCCTTGCATCCTTAGCAACGAAAGCTTGTTGTATTACGTTTCTATATATTATACATGGATTACATTGTTGGCTGAGTGGGTTAATTAGTAGGGAATATAGTCATGTGGGATAACCCTTAACCTATCCAGAATAAATAAAAGTACACGTTTCTTACCTGGCAACCTTTCGTCAGGGTCAAACGGTTTGAGGCAACAGCGTCTCAGAATAATGATAAAACAGAATACAACAACAGCAGAGCCCAGAAATATGACAGCAGCTGTATGGGACTTAGATTTTGCTTCATAAATCTTGTCATTGTAGCGTTTAACTGTGAGGTAGCCAAAACCACGGTCATCTAAATAGCTACAAATAAATATAATAGATCGTAAAAATGATCCTTCCTGCATGGACCTCTAGGGAGAACAATTTAGAACTGATAGAGCTATCCAGTATAAATAAAGTTAGTTTAGTTTAGGTTTCCCCCTGTAGTAACACTGGATCAATAAGAGATGATCCTTACTGGACCTCTAGGGACAACAATTTAGAACTGATAGAGCTACCGTATCCAGTATAAATAAAGTTAGTTAGTTTAGGTTTCCTCCTGCAGTATAAACACTAGATCAATAAGAGATGATCCTTACTGGACCTCTGAGTATAAATAAAGTTAGTTTAGTTTAGGTTTCCTCCTGTAGTAACACTGGATCAATAAGAGATGATCCTTACTGGACCTCTATATATAGGGAGAACAATTTAGAACTGATAGAGCTATCAAGTATAAATATAGTATTTTTGGAAAGGGCGTATTACCTAACTGTGACATTGTCACCAAACTGGTACCCAAGCTCCCAACAAACCAAATGCTGCGCGTCCAGGAGCGCCAGAAATATCCAAGCAGCAGGCGCGACGAGACCCACACTGATTGCCGATAAGAACCCAGCGAAGAAATCACCTCGGCGGTGGTAGGCTGGTACCCAACACCTCTTAAATAACGACCAGATGTAGTACCCTCCCTCGGCTGGCATTGATAACCAATTCAAGAGCGTTAACATAATTATTGGACACACGAAGAATGCAATGCCATACGCCTGGTAGCCTGTTCTGGGGCAGCTGAACGTTTCCTTGTCCAAGAGTCGTTCTAGACCAAACGTTAACAAAGCCCAAACCAATGCGAATAGACCTTCGTTATAATCTTTCACAAACTTTTCAACATAATCTTTGAAAGTTGTCACGAAATTGTGTTTTGTAATTTTCTGCGTTGCGGCCGTGGACATCGTGTTGTATTGCTTTAAATCTCACTCTCGACCTGTAAAACTCACTCTCAGATAGTCTTACCGAAGAGCTGTCACAACAAAGCTTTTAAAAAACATATGCATAATAAAGTAATATTAGTCGCGCATTTTATAACCTACGAATCGTGGTTTATGTCATGCATAAAGTGAGAACTTAAATACAGAAACGTGAAAGCTTGCACGCTCTCATCATATTGCTTCAGTTCATAATAATTCGTCGTCTTGCCACTTTGGTTAAGCTTTAACCTGTTAAATCTACAGTTGTGACAAATGTACAACCCTGTCAAACGCCAGATTATTTTACTGCATTTCAGTGTGATGCAGAGATACATAGAAAATATTTCTGATATGCTTGGTTTAATATAATAGATGATTTTTGATAAGAACTAATTAGAATCATGGACATTTGCATGATTTTCAAAAATAATTAAAATACAGCCGTTTGTCTAAGGAACAGCTACTGTATATTCAGCAGGCGAATGTCACTCGTGCGTAAAAGCATGGGAAAAAAGTTAAGACAATAACATAAATATATTGCTTTCATATATTGCTTAATTTCCTGTTAAATTCGTTTAAGTCGGTGACATAGAAATCACAGTACAATAGATATATTATAATTAATAAATATAGTTATTAACTTATTATATCGTAACATTTCGTTGCAATAAAATACCATTATGGTATACTAAATTGCAAACATGATAATGTAATTGATGTGATACATTAATTCGTACAGTCTACACTAAAACTAAATCACTGTGGACTTTATAGTCTTTACCGCTAAATATTAATCTCCAAATCGTTCTTACAGAAATCATTGTGTATTTCTACAATATCGTAATTTTTTCATTTTGTGACAACTTCGAAAATGTTGCCAAATGTTACAATTAGCCACCATATTTGTTACATTACGATAATTTTAAAGTGATCAACATCTTGTATGTAGTCTGTCTTGATAGGTTAGACTGACGAACTATCAAGAAAAACAATGCTCTTTTTCAACAAAATCTAGATTCCCATTTCCCACATTAAAACCATTTTATACTATATAATATAGTTTGCCTAGCTATTACTGATGGAAGTTTAAATTAAAAATAATTTACTGTTGAAATAATTCCTCTAAACTAAGTAATACCACTACGCTGTTCATTCGAATTTTATCGGTGTTGTCTTGAATGGGAAATCCCATATTTTAGTTGAGATGCCATATCCTAAAATGTGCAAGGAAAACCAGGTCAATGGGCGGGATTCGGATATCTTTTTCAGGTAGTTCGGACACAACCATGACAACTTTTATTGTAGAATACTACCTACACTGGACCACCACGTTTGAGATATCTTTTTCAGGTAGTTCAGACACAAACCACAGAAGCTTATTGTAGAATACTACCAACACTGGACCACCACGTTTGAGATATCTTTTCCAGGTAGTTCAAACACAAACCATGGCAGCTTATTGTAGAATACTTCCTACACTGGACCACCACGTTTGAGATATCTTTTCAGGTAGTTCAGACACAAACCACAACAGCTTATTGTAGAATACTACCAACACTGAACCACCACGTTTGAGATATCTTTCCCAGGTAGTTCAAACACAAACCACGGCAGCTTATTGTAGAATACTTCCTACACTGGACCACCACGTTTGACATATCTTTTTCAGGCAGTTCAGACACAAACCACAACAGCTTATTGTAGAATACTACCTACACAGAACTTAAGAAAACAAGAATATGTACCATACGAACCTTTCATCGGGTCTTCAAAATGGTGTGCAACATGGTAACTTTTCAGCTCGTGAAAGTAACTGCCATGATTTGGCGAGCCATGGTGTAGGTAATAATGAATACAATCATACATGATGTAGCCAAACAATCCGCCTGCAAACAAAGCGTTTGCAATGCCGTATGGCAACACAGAAACAAACAGAGCGTAAAACGCTGCCGCAAATACGGAGGCTGCAACTGGTGGAAACACAAGACGCCCGCTGTCAAATGGAACCTGGAATGAAAGTTTTACAGAGTATTTTAGAGTGGTCCAGTATAAAGTTACAGGCCCACATATATCAGGGCCACATGATCCTTATTGGACCTGAACAGCTTAGAACTGATAGAGCTATCCAGTATAAATAAAGTTAGTTTAGTTTAGGTTTCCACCTGTAGTAACACTGGATCAATAAGAGATGATCCTTACTGGACCTCTAGGAAGAACAGTTTAGAACTGATAGAACTATCCAGTATAAAGTTTTAAAAAGTGTGTTTTGAAACTGACCTTATGGTGTTGTCCGTGAATAAAGAAATGAAACGTTATCCAAAAAGGAGAATCGTCCGGAGGTGTAATATGAAACAAATATCGATGCAAAATATATTCGACCAATGTCCACAAAAATGTTCCAAATAAAAATAAACAGACAAACACGACAAATATGGAGTAAGCATTTGTTAAAAAACTTGTGACATCATCAGCAAGGTGGGTCAGACCTATAGTGGATATATATAGGACAACAGGAAGCCAGACTATAGGTACCATATACCATGGTGTTTTAGAAAAGAATTCTATAATCTCAGGACCAAACAGACGTAGCGGACGGTTGACGGGAGAGTGCACCCATTTCATGTACTCTGCACCAAGTTTCCCAACTTGAGCTACCATTGGCTTACTCCAATCTACCAATTCCTATGAGAATGGAAACGAATAATTATCACTTGGAAATACGAAGCCCTACTACTAATAGTCAATTATCATCCTTTGCATCCAAAAATGAATGGATAGATACACTGCCTATTTTCACACGAAACTTCTATGCAAGGCCCTTTGAAAAACATATGGCCTACTTACATATGGCCCCACTTACTTAACTGTTCTATTAGCTATTCCGGTAAAACCGGAAAACCGTTTTTTTCCCTTTAATTTTTACTTCAACTGAATGAGCAAGAATTGTGGTATTTTTTTGACATAAGCAAACGAACAGTACACGACAAAACGCAAAATTGTGCAAAGGTAATCTAAAATAACTTTAGTTCTTACCGACTTTACGGAAAAAGAATAGAATTTGTATCTAGTGTCATGTAATTGAGTTTAATTAGTGTCATGTTTTGAGAATTAAGATCGAGTTTCGGGCGATGACAGTAAACAATTACGTAATGACGGTTTTCCGGTTTTTGTAAAAGCTAAACCGAAAAAAACCAGTTTGAAAATAAAACCGAAAAAACCCGAAAAACCGGTAAACCGCCCAAGCCTATGGCAAACTGCTAACTGAAAATAGCAAAAGCTTATCAATTGTGTCCTTAACCATTGGATGCCTTTTTGTAGAATTTCACCTGTCATTGTTTTTGACTTGGCAGGTCGATTTTTTTCTCCTACCATTTCTGAAATACGGTCTGCCTTTGGCCATCAGCAGGCCGCTATTTCGAGCCCTGTGTCTGTGAGCTATTTTTAGCCCTGTGTCTGTGTTTAATCAGCTTAGCCAAACCATGTGAACCTACTTTAAACATGATTAATTAAATGGTCTTGATAACAATGAACTTTCATGTAAGAATGGACAATGTCTTCTGTTCATTGTTAGATGCAAGCAACAATGTGCGACAGTCTTACATTTTCTTTGTATCCCTCCATATTCAGATCTTCATCCTCGTCATGAGTTTCACTCTAAATTTGAATTCAAACTCTTCTTTAGCAGTGAGATATGGCCTCGTAATTATTTCACATCTAATGCCAGAAGATTGTACTTGTCCAATGGAGACTATTTAATAGACATCAATGCCCACCATTATGAGCAAAATCATCTGGCATTCGACTGAATAAAGGACCAAGTATGGTGCATTAGGGCAAAGTGTGGCATCTTAATTCAGCCTCAGTTTCACAGATCATACTCTTACGCACTGATCATATAAGACCTGATGAATTTGAAACCATACTAATATTTAGAAAAGTTCATATTTTGAGCTTGCATTAGATCTTATGAGTGAGCAATTTTTCAGCTCAATGCAAAACATTTTGCTCGTGAAGAATTTCAAAGTCGTGGAATCCAACTTTATGAATTTCCATGCGAAATTTATACATGGAATCAAATAAATTTCAAATCAACTAAATGTGTACATGAGGTTTGGGAATATGTACTGTTTGAAAATAACACTGGGTCATTTGCTGTCATCAAAAGTGGACTTTTCCCACGGATGGCAGAATTTTCCTCTGAAGAGGGAGTGTGGTTTTTTCCTGGAACAACCCAATACAAGAATGTGCATCAATAAATCAAGGCCATTTGAACGACTCTCCCACAATTACTGTATACACTGTAATATTTTTATACAAAAACAAAATATCAATATCATAATTCTATAATGATTCTCATTGAACTAATTATAGAATCAAGTATAAATTCCCAATGGTCCAAATATGCGGTCGCTGCTTCAATAGACTCAATAGGGCAAAGTCTAACGTTTAAAGTTTCACTGTGTATGGCGGTATATTAATACCCCCTTGACTGGTGTATATGAACAGATATAAACCCCCATTACATTTTGAATGTATGAGATATTCTATACCTGGGAATCCAGTCTTCCGATGCAGTATTTGTTCATCATGTTATGAGCAAAAGCAGTATGTTTATGTATTTGAGGATCTTGCATAATTTCTGTAACATCGTTGCCAAATTTTGGCAGCAAAACGTTTCTACCGCCCGGATGACGGCTTACAAATTCAGTGACATCAAAAACACGTCCTTTATTCACAAGCCAAGCGCTTTCCTCGGAATTATGTTGGCGAACCTCTTCCACGCTGTACGACTCCATTTTTTCCCCTTTGTCGAGAATTCAAGTGCGAAAAGACAACCACATCATAAATATTTGATATGGAAGCAACTTTGCGTTGCGATCTTAATAATAAATTTAAAATTTCATGCAAAATGATCGAAATTTGAGACGTTTTTGACGCGTGGCCACACAAGGCGAACGGCTACGAGCGATTTACGATGCTCTCCGAGTGCAAAATTTGTTCAATATTGAACGAAAAAATAGTCATATATCTAAAAAAGATTACAACAAATTGGTCTTTTAAAAAAAGAAACATAAAATTTAGCTTTGTATTGGTGGGACTTACAATCAAATATATTAATATTTTAAGGACATGTTTGATATTTTTGATTGTTTATCTCTACGTATTGAATAAAAAACGATACACCAAACAGATAATCTGCATCGTCGTAATCGCGTTCCACATGCTAATTAGCTTCCTGAGCGATGTATTTTTGCTGTCATAAAACGAAAACAGAACATTTTAATCTGCGAAAATTAGTCAGCAAAATTTGAAATTTTGTGCTGAAATCGTGCAGATTCTTGCAGCAAAATTAAACACCAAGATAAAATGAGTTTCAATGCATTGAGGTATGTCTTAAAATCACCCTAGATTAGTGGCTAGAACCCTCGAAGTAGTCTATTGAATTGTATTTGTCATTTGTGTATTTATGTAGATCAACATTAAATTCTTTTTATACGTAACAAAATATATTGCATGTGCTGTGGTCCTTTAATAGCGGCGCAAAAACAAGCTCATTTGGTGTGTGTCAGAATTATGTTTTGTTAAAGCTTTAATATTATGATACAAAGTTTTTAAAGAGACATAATTTGCAAGTGTATTTTTAAGTAAATGGTTGTGTTTCACACCCTATTATCAAAGTAGTGGCTCTATAAACAATATCAGAGAAGGGATGTGTACCTTTAAAATGTATAATACAACTCTTTGGCCAGATTTACAATAGAGATGGCTCATTCGTTTTTAATACATCATGCATCTGATCTGACTCACCATCGACGATGGCCATTTTCACTGGGTAACACCCACTCCCCAGACTTGTACACTTGTAAGAGGGTGTAGATGGGGGGGTCTGAAAATAGCAAACGGTAAACATTTTGGTATTTTAACGGTAAATCTTTGAATCTTTGAAAAGTGTCCTGAGACGATAAACAGTATTTTTTCCCTCGCGTTTCACGGTAAAATTTTTAGTGTTTTCATGACCGATGGTAACCGAAACTGAGCAATCACAGCTCACGATATACCCCATCAAACCCTCTTATGAGTTCCCTGGGGCATGGGTACTTTTCATCAACTGAAGTTTTAAAAATCCCATAGGAAAACAGTTGGCAACTTTATTGCTGGCAACGACACATCCTCGGAGAAAAGTTCTCAGAGTAAGCCAGCGGGTGCGGCATCAGCACCAAGCAGCAGTTATGATGAGAAGAATGCACCACACACTAAATTACCAGTAGATTCGTACTACTATCCTGGTGTTCGATACCAGTATTACCTCACAGATATTGAAGTGACTCGAGTCGGTCATTGTAAGTAGTGTTTTTGGTGAAAATTACAAGAATTTACATGATTTCATAAACTAAACAAATTTGTTTATACTGGATACCTCTATCAGTTCTAAACTGTTCTCCCTAGAGGTCCAATAAGGATCATCTCTTATTGATCCAGTGTTACTACAGGAGGAAACCTAAACGAAACTAACTTTATTTATACTGGATAGCTCTATCAGTTCTAAACTGTTCTCCCTAGAGATCCAGTAAGGATCATCTCTTATTGACCCAGTGTTACTACAGGAGGAAACCTAAACTAAGCTAACTTTATTTATACTGGATAGCTCTATCAGTTCTAAACTGTTCTCCCTACAAACCACTATTCTTGTAAAATGATCATAGGGTTAGGTTCAGATTATGGTAAGGGTTATGATTAACCCATTGAGTGGCACCTCTCCCCTTGACAAGTAAAATCATTTGGCATTAGACAGAGTAAATAATAAAGTAAGGTGCATCAGAGTGTGTTGCCACTTAAAGGGTTAAGGTTAGGATTAGTGTAGGATTAGGGTTAGGAAAGAATTAGGATCCTAGTAATACAGTTACAATTGAGGTTAAGATTGGTTTTAGAGTTAGG